GGGGGGGGGGGGATTTATATATTCTGGGTACCTGGAATAACAGTTAGTACTGCCTCAGCACTTTTACGTCTACTGGCTATAGTTGTAGCAACACATCGATAGTTTCCAGCATCCCTCTGTTCAACACCATAGATCTGAAGGACTCCTGTTGGTAAAGCAGTAATTCTGGCATGGAAACAAAAAGAAACGGCATGTTTATATTTATACACATTCTTTTTTCTCCGCTTGATCAGCAAACAGCAACTGCCATACCAGCTTGAGAACAGCAAGCAGGGGAGCCTCTAAAAAACATGTTATACACATGACTCATCTCCACACTTCTTACCTTCAGTAATCTATGAGGGAAATCTCTCCCTGCCCCTCCCCCTGGATGAGGGAAAAAGAATGAATTTACCTGCAACTAATGGTTCTGCACCTGCAAATACAACACCCTAATCCCTCATTCACCCTCCTATATTCAGTTTGGCGAGCCTTAGCAGCCAATATTTTTAAAAAATTGACTGCTTTTTGATGGGAACTTCACATGAATAACTGCTACCTAGAGAAATACACCACATGTATTTCCTATTAACAGTGTCAATCATTTCAACGTTTATGCTTCTTTCTTCCCTTGTTTGCAAGCTAGGAAGAAAGAGTACACATGAGAGAAGTTATGCAGCAAGGGAGTAAGTATCTGCGAGGGACAGCCTTAAACAGGAGATGCTGTAAGTAATGTTTTCTGGAGAAAATCTAGCGGGGGGTGGATGTGAGGCCAGTGGCACTCAGGGTCAAAGAAAACACTCTCCTGTGCTGGAGTTCCTTCTTACTAAGCATTCCAAACCAAACTTCCCCAGGCTGCTTTAATGGCAACCTAAGGTCAGCGACTATCGCACTTCATTCAACAGAGTGATTCACAAGAGAGCAGTTCTCCAAGGAACACACCTCACTACACAATCTCTTCCTAACTGGTGTCTAGGAATCTTTGCAAACCACGCCTGGAATGGCTCAGGAGGACTTCTGTAGGTCTCTGTATACACTACAGAATACACTGCACTGGACAATACAACAAAAGTATGTGGTCTCTGAACTAGTCTATTCACTTCTGCCCTTTGTGACGTTCAATTCCTACTATGCCCCCATCCACATAGCGGTTTCCCCACCGTATTGTACTTAAGTATGGTATCAGCAGGCACACCTCAACCCTGCAACATTTAAAACTGATTCGGTAGTTGCAAGGACTCATTTTAGAACTCCATAGCCTCACAGACATATTAAGAATCCCATATTTAAAGAGATTCTGATAATTAGACTAAATTAGAGGGGAAAAAACAGTTTCTGGTTATAAAGTGTTTCTTAAGTGTATCAGTAAAAATGATTAAAAACATAGAAGACTTTCTGCACCCTTACTAATATTTTGAAGGAGAAAAGGACTTAAATAAGGCCTCAATTCTGAAATTACATACTTGAGTAATTTTATGTATAAAAGTAGTCCTTCTGAGTTCAGCAAGACTTCCTTTATACTTAAAGTTACTCAGATAAATAAGCATCAGCAAGATTTATTTGTAACTATAAAATGGGTTACTTAATGATTCTAAACTATACCTCAAATGTTACTGGTTTAGTTAATGCTTTTTAAAATAACACTTTAAGTGTTAGGATTCCCCCCCTATTCTGCAATTTGCAGATTGGCACAGATTCAAAATGTTTACAGAGAAGATATGCCAAAGTGTGAAAGACTACATACCTGTCCATGGTTAATGGTAAAGTTGTTCGATTTACTTCCCATGTGATGATGGCAGGAGGGTTTGCTGTTATTTTACAGGACAATCGGGCAACGCCTCCTTCTTGGACTTCAATTGAAAGCGGTTGGACTTCAAATGCAGTAATAGCTAAAAATAAAATTTTTAAGTAAAATTTAAAAGGCTGAATGAAAACAAGTTAAAACAAAAGAACTGCCCTAGAAGTCAGCAAGGACAAACATGTTCTGAAGGACATAGTTACAGATCAACTTGCACAAAAATTACACAGAACAGTCTGTTTCCTGACATTTAAAGATGCAAACTTTGATACAAAGGCCTTGATGATAGCAAAATTGCATCGGTTTAATTAATCATGTTTTTAGAATAATTCAGTTAAATCAGCGCATGACTGACATGACTGTTGTTGTCGAGCTTAGTATGATTTAAGACAGATTCACTGGCTTCAACTCAATTATGCTAAAAATGGAAAAAGCCAAATTAAAATAAGTCAGTGTTAAATCTTCCAACAGATTTAAGGATATCACTATACAAAACGGGTTTGCATTTAACTAAAAAGTTAGATGTGTCACCTGATCCTTTGAACCTTGCTGAAAGTAAAGCCCACTCATCACAGAGGGAGCTTTGCAAAGCTACATTTAGTTCCTCCCAGCTAAGTTTTACTGTTTAACAACAGTATTTACCTTCCTCACTCAGGTCTGGAAAAACACTTGTAGAGTTGTACCAGTTAATACTTTAATGGAAAAACAAAACAAAAAGGAAAGTACTGTAAAGAACTGTGAACCTTCATCTCAGCCACCTGGGTTGGAATGTATGTGGTGCGATTCCTATTGTTACTTTTACCCATGGGAGCTTCCCAATATAGTTTTACACTAACAGCTGAAGGGAGTGAAACAAAAATGAACTGCATAAAGTAAAAGATAAATGAACAACTTCCAATTAACAAACACCTACAAAACCAATCAACAGTTTGATTCTCTTGCTCAGGAAATGAAAGCTGGGAAGAAAAGAAAAAGCAGAGCTTCTAAACTATTAATGTACTTACTGATATTTGTGGCAAAAATAAAATAATAACATATAATAGAACAAGAATACCCATCTGGGCGAGCCATACTATTCAGTTCATTTTTTAAAATTTAATTAAAAAACACAAGATTTTCCCCCTTTGTGTAAGTCACATAAAATATTGTCATAGACTATCCAAAGTCACTGACCTATTTTGTTAGACTGAACTTTGTGTATTAAAAGACCTGCCATAAGTTATTGATTCCTTAGTGGAGTACAGACACATCTTTCTCCTACAAAGAGTACTCTTCTCAGATTTTCAGAATTCTTGTGTGTTTCCTAGTATAGAATAATGTGATTTCATAATTAAGACTCTTGTAAATGGCAAGCCATAGCTCTGGAAAATAAGGTCTGGCTTACACCCAGCTGTGGTATCAGTACCATTATTTTGGTTAGTGTTTGTTGGGATAGGAAGTGAGGCAGGGCAGTTTTTTATAGTTTCAGTTTTTTTCTTCCAGTATAAGTATGAATACAACATTATCAATATAAAAGGTGCCTTAACCAGTACAGTCAGTTATTCCACTTTCCATTTAGGAGTAAGCGATCCTGGTATAAATGCTTCCATACTACGTGGGCTGTATACCTTTACCATAAAGACTTATAATTTAGCACAGTGATTCTCAACCAGGGTGCCCCAACAGCTTGGGGTGCCGTGTCCTTTCAAGGGTGCCATGGGGTACTACACAATGTTAGTACTATTATGTGTGCAAACATGATTCACATTATAAACCCAGAGATTTCACACAAGAATTCATATCGTTCAAACATTCTGACCTGTTGCAGTCTTTTAAAGTTCTTTATAACAAAAGAATTGGCTTATTTTTCTTTAGTCAAAAAGCAAGTGAAAATAAAGAACTGGCATTTTCGAAAAAGATGATGATTTCCAAACCATCATCCTAGTCGTGGTATTCCTGATTAACACTGGCAACAATGAAAGGTGGGACAACCAAACTTACAAGAACTGTTTAACCCCTCTCACTAAAGCCTTCTTTTTATTTCCAGAAAGCCAAATATAAAACCCCCTCCCCCCAGTAATTAGGCATCTTGTTTCTCTGAATATGGAAGCTCAGCTCTACCTCTACCTATGACATACAGGTTAGTGCACTTACATTAGCATCTTCTAGATCTGCTTTGGTTTGATTCCCCCATGGAGCCAATAAGACAAAAACACCCAGTCTTTTCTCTCTCCTTTGATACCCCCAAGGGTGTGCAACTCATCAGGCCCCGCAGGCCAGATAAAGGTCACAGGGTCAGGTATGGACTGACCCCCTGTGCCAATGGCAGCATCCCTGGCACCAGGTCCAGCCCCCATGACACATACAGCATGCGGGGCTGGGGCAGCTGGGTGCCCACCAGCTGGATCGTATGGCTCCATGGGCAAGAGCTGGGCTGCAGGCTGTATATTTGACACCCCTCTCTACTCCAAAGGCTTGACTTAACAGGATACATTCCTGTAGCTCCCCATGGGAGTTAACACCACCTCTGCTCAACCCACCAGATCCAGTCCAGGAGGAATCCAACCCAGGGAGTTAAATGAATTTAACGTGTCTGCTTTAAAGAGTAAAACTCAAAAAAACTTTGGTCTGCACAGGAACTGCAGAATCATGCCCATAATTTCCCAACACTTTTGACACTATGTAGTAGAACACTCTCAGGTACTTTACACTCAATATTTAGGTTTTGTCAAGGAAAAAAATTGGAGCCTTCTAATCCTAATTTTTAAATAAATAAATACTTTAGTGATTTTTTAAAAATTCTAGTGACTGCAGTTTATTATATTCCCTGGCAACCCATACATTACAACTACTGGATGAAAACTAGAATAGGAACTTGGCAAGAGAAACTGAAAAAAAAGAAAAGTAACATGTAAAAACTACTAAAACTGTATGAACAGCTTGTACAGCTATGCAGCTAATACTTGCATTTAATTCATTTAAGGCAAGGATGTCCAACAGGGCTGTGTGAAATTTCGCTGGCTGATTCATTTTGACGCTGTTTTGACTCATTTTGAGCTCGAAACAGCAAAATTGAAACGAAACGAAGGACTTCGAAACAGCCTCAAAACTAAATGAAATGAGGCCAGTCAAAACGTTTTAAAACGTTTCAAATTTCGAAGCAGCCAGCCAGGTGGTAGGAGACAGGGGAGAGCCAGGGCTGCAGACCCATGTCGCTCAGCTGGGTGGGGAGTGCAACCATGGCTTTCCCCGCCTCCTGCCACCAGGCTGCACTCTATAAGGCTGGTGGAGCCAACTGGAGCACAGCGCCAGCTCTGCCTGCCTCCCACTGCTGGGCTGAGCTCCGATCGGCTCTGCCAGCCCCGTGCATCTCAGCCCATGGTGGAAGGTGGGCAGAGCCGGCACCTCCCGCCGCTGGGCCGAGTTCCACAGGGTTGCGAGCTGCTGGGAGCTGAGCCCGGTGGCGAGAGGCACTTCTCCCCCCACCAGGCTCAGCTCCCCAGGGATGCAAGCCGCTGGGAATTGAAGGGGAGCACCACCCACTGCTGGGCTCAGTTCCCAGCGGCTTGCAGCACTGCGGAAGTCAGCTGGGCTGGGGGAAGCGCCTCCTCCAGCCCAACTGAGTTCCCAGCCCCTCTCAGCACTGGGGAATCCAGCTGGGCTGGAGGAAATGCATGACTAATTTGTGGCATGCCTGCCAAAAAGTTTGGCTACCAGTTATAAGGCTTGCCAGTAACTGAAGCAGATATTTTTTTTCCTTAGCATTTTCACCCTGTGTCTTTTAAAATAAAGTTATTTCCTGGTGAATGAGATCCCATAGGTTGTCTATACACGTGCTCCGGGGTGAAGGGGAGGGTTGCTTTAATTAGAGTGGTTCTGAGATCTGCTCTAATAAAAGCGCTCCTTGTGTCGTGTGTCCAGCATCCCGCACTTCAAAATGGCAGCAGGGATGCTTTAACTAAAGCTTTCACAAGCTTTAAAGTGCAGCCATTTTAAAACATGGGGATGCTGAACACATATGACATGGAGGCTCTGGAGCATGCTAATTAGCACACTCCAGCAGACCTGCAGCAGACTCCATTAATCAAGTCTGCTCCAACATGTGCTAATTAGAACATGTTGGAGCAAAGGTCCATCATGTGTATAGGTACCCATAGATACCAGAAATGATTGCTGCACCAAATAAAAATCCAAGACAGTGTTTTCAGCATAGCTGCCTACTTTATAAATGTTACAAGGTTGGTTTTAGAAAATGCTTGTCTTTGTCCTCCAATCAGATCACAATTTATAAACTGTTCTTCACAGCTCCATATCCACTCCTTCAACATCTTGTTACTTAAAGCAAATCTTTAGTTTCTTAATTCTGACTTTATTTGTGCCAGTAAAATCAGTTTTTACAAGTCTGCTGCTGTCTTGTGAAACCTGACCTCTTTTTAACATGCTTGTTTTCATGGCAAGTGCTGATACCAACTCTGAATCCCAAGAACAAGTAATTAAAGCAGTGCTGTTAAGAGGCCAGAGCCCTATAAAATGGATAAGAAACAAAGTCTCAAGAGACATGCATTGTTCTTGAAAACTACCCTGCAAAATGCAATAAATGTAAGTGCCTTTTTATTTGAGCTTTCCTCCTCTTTAGTCTGCGTAATCATTTTGTATCCAGGTTTACAGCCAAAAGAAAACAACTAGCATTATGCTGAGAAGCCAGCTACCACTATTTTTAACTGTAAAATACAGTACACCAATCATAAAGCAATAAAGAGATAGTTACTAATTAGAATCAGTTTTGCTGGGAACTTGTGTCCATATAGTTTCTTTTGAATAACAGTATTGATGAGTCTATAAAACCATGCATATATCCACATTTTAATTTTAACACTGCACAGGGGGATGAGAGCCTAGCCCTGCGAAGTGCAGAGCACCCTCCCCTGCAATTTATGGGAAACGGAGATTTAGAAACTTACAGAAACAGAACGAAGAAAAACAAAGGATCATTTGATGACATGCTCTGAGCCAGTATCATCAAATAAAATTGTCACTATTGTTCAATGTCCAGTGTAAGTTGTCACTGCACAAATGTTGATGAAAGCTTCATACACATCCCTGAGGGTGACG